AGACCTGGTGCAGGTCTGGAAGTCAGAGGCACTGAACATGTAGCTGCACAGGGGAAGCAGACGGCAGAAAGTCTGCCAAGATGCTGCAGCGTCAGCACATTCTTGGAGCAAAGGCACTGAAAAGCCTATCCTCCGACTTCACTTCCAAGTGAGAAAGAGGGACTTGCTGCCCCGGCAGGGTTGTGCCCGGGTCACTGACTGGGTCTGGAGGCTTTCAGGGAGAGGGGAGAGACCTCGGAGCTCTGCCAACTGCTGCTCTACCGAGGCCTGCCCCTCCTGCCCTGCCTGGCCTCCCCCTCCCAGAGCATGGGCCCCTGCATGCATTGCCCTGGTGGTGGGCAGCTGACCAGGGCCTGGGGCTTTGGGGAAGTTTTTCCTCTGCAGACATGCCCGGTTCTTGAGAATGTGTATGTATGTTTGCTGGGGCAGACAGAGCAGAGGGAGCTGGTGGTCAGGAAGGAGACAGGAACAACTTTGCTGCAAACTGAGAATGGGGGATAGGAGAGAGGCCTTGAGCCCAGCCACACAGGAAAGCAGAGACTTTGCTACAGAGGAGCAGGGTCAAGGCTGCAGAAGTCTGTCAGATCTTCCTTCTAGTCTAACCCGGTAAGTGTTCATAAGGTGGAACCAAGACCCAGCACTGATACCTGTCAATTCCCAGTTCAGGACTCCTTCTGCTAGGAAGCCATGTAAAGGACGTAGATTTGAGAGGCTCCAGGAATCACTGGCCACCTCAAGAGGGCTTGTCTGACTGAAAAGCTGCACTGCTCCCTGTGTATTGGGAGGGTTGCAGGTGCCTGCTAATGTGAGCAGCTTCCTGGGTCCCCTGCCAGGGGAATGCGTGTGTCCTGCATCTGAAGGCCAGGTCCCTGCCCTGCCCTCGGAGGGATGTTGCTAACTCCCTCAGCCTTCCTGAGCCTGGATTCCCTCATCTGCAAAGTGGGGGCTGCTCAAACCTACCTCACAGGGTCGCCATGAGGGTCAGTGACACACAAGGAAATCACCTGGCATAGGGCACTCTTGGAGCTTAGGCAGGGACCTCTTCGGGCTGGGTATGGGTTAAGGGCTGCAGGGGTGGGATGGCAGCTCTTGAAAGGTTACTGTAACTGAGAGAAGGGGATCCAGGGCCCGGCCACACATCACTCTATACCCTCTTCCCTCACTACTTCTCTTTTTGGAGAAGAGAGTGTCTGGGCAGGCCTGCCTCCTTAGCAACACAGAACTGTAAATCCAATTCCTGCCAATTCTGTAGCAGCAGCAATGAGCATTATCAGTGTCCCCTTGATGTTCTGCAAATTCAATCCTGAACTCCGGTGACCACGTACTGACCACCCACTTTGTGCTGCATGTGCTCTTCACCCACGATCTCATAGGTTGTCACATAATCCTGTGGGTGCGTGTGGTCACAACACCCATTTCACAGANAGACCTGGTGCAGGTCTGGAAGTCAGAGGCACTGAACATGTAGCTGCACAGGGGAAGCAGATGGCAGAAAGTCTGCCAAGATGCTGCAGCGTCAGCACATTCTTGGAGCAAAGGCACTGAAAAGCCTATCCTCCGACTTCACTTCCAAGTGAGAATGAGGGACTTGCTGCCCCAGCAGGGTTGTGCCCGGGTCACTGACTGGGTCTGGAGGCTTTCGGGGAGAGGGGAGAGACCTCGGAGCTCTGCCAAATGCTGCTCTACTGAGGCCTGCCCCTCCCGCCCTGCCTGGCCTCCCCCTCCCAGAGCACGGGCCCCTGCATGCATTGCCCTGGTGGTGGGCAGCTGACCAGGGCCTGGGGCTTTGGGGAAGTTTTTCCTCTGCAGACATGCCCGGTTCTTGAGAATGTGTGTGTATGTTTGTGGGGCAGACAGAGCAGAGGGAGCCGGTGGTCAGGAAGGAGACAGGAACAACTTTGCTGCAAACTGAGAATGGGGGGTAGGAGAGAGGCCTTGAGCCCAGCCACACAGGAAAGCAGAGACTTTGCTACAGAGGAGCAGGGTCAAGGCTGCAGAGGTCTGTCAGATCTTCCTTCTAGTCTAACCCTGTAAGTGTTCATAAGGTGGAACCAAGACCCAGCACTGATACCTGTCAATTCCCAGTTCAGGACTCCTTCTGCTAGGAAGCCATGTAAAGGACGTAGATTTGAGAGGCTCCAGGAATCACTGGCCACCTCAAGAGGGCTTGTCTGACTGAAAAGCTGCACTGCTCCCTGTGTATTGGGAGGGTTGCAGGTGCCTACTAATGTGAGCAGCTTCCTGGGTCTCCTGCCAGGGGAATGCGTGTGTCCTGCATCTGAAGGCCAGGTCTCTGCCCTACCCTGGGAGGGATGTTGCTAACTCCCTCAGCCTTCCTGAGCCTGGATTCCCTCATCTGCAAAGTGGGGGCTGCTCATACCTACCTCACAGGGTCGCCATGAGGGTCAGTGACACACAAGGAAATCACCTGGCATAGGGCACTCTTGGAGCTTAGGCAGGGACCTCTTCGGGCTAGGTATGGGTTAAGGGCTGCAGGGGTGGGATGGCAGCTCCCGAAAGGTTACTGTAACTGAGAGAAGGGGATCCAGGGCCCGGCCACACATCACTCTATACCCTCTTCCCTCACTACTTCTCTTTTTGGAGAAGACAGTGTCTGGGCAGGCCTGCCTCCTTAGCAACACAGAACTGTAAATCCAATTCCTGCCAATTCTGTAGCAGCAGCAATGAGCGTTATCAGTGTCCCCCTGATGTTCTGCAAATTCAATCCTGAACTCCGGTGACCACGTACTGACCACCCACTTTGTGCTGCATGTGCTCTTCACCCACGATCTCATAGGTTGTCACATAATCCTGTGGGTGCGTGTGGTCACAACACCCATTTCACAGATGAGGAAACTGAGGCCCACAGCAGTGCAGCAATGTGCACAGCTCACCTGGTAGGTGGAGGAAGAAGCACTCAAGCCCATGTCTGCCTGATTCCAAAGCCCATGCCCTATTCATTCTGCACCTCAAACTTGCTGGAAGCAGAGGACACAGGCAGAGAAGCACCATGTGGGAGAGAGGTCCTTGCAACTGAGAGGCCAAGTGCAGGTGCAAGATAGATTACTGAGGGTGACATTTGAGGCTCCTGGCCCTTTAATGGTTTCTTTCCTTCCTCTGTGTTCCAGTGTTCCCGGGCCCTGGAGCTGCCTGTGGAGCAGCTAATCATGGGCAGTTACCACAGTGGCACATCATAAACAGTCTGTAAAAGGCCCAGGGAGCAGCTCATATGCTCACAGAGCTGCGGCACCCCCAACTCACGCACATACACACGGCTGCCCACAGGGGGAGGCCAGGCCGGCCGACATGGGCCCCTGACTTGCTGCGTCTTCATCCTGATCTCAAGCTCCTGCAAGGAAGAACAGCCGGCCCAATTTTACCCATGGGGGATCTCAGGCTCAGAGAGAGGGGTGACTTTTCCAAGGCCACAGAGTGGGTTGTGGGAGGAACAGGGACAAGATGTCTTTGTTTCACAGAACAACATGAGCAGGAATAAAGGCTGACCCCACCGGCAGTTTGCAAAGCACTTCCAAATCTAGTGTCTCACTAACTCTCATCATAGCTGTCTTGTAAACATAGAAAGTGAGGCTCAGAGAAAGAAAACCAAAGTCCATCACTGGTTTCAGGTCCCATAGCAAAACTGACTGCCTTGCTTTCCTCCAAAGTCCACTGTGGCTCCCCACTGCCTCTTACCCTTCATGGCCTGATACCACTTCCCCCAGCCCCACATCACATTTCTGAAAAATCAGCTGCTACTCATGAGTCCCCAAGACCCCACTGTCTCTCACACCTCCGCTGAAGCTATGCCCTCTGCCTGGAAGGCTCTCCTGCCACGCCTCCACCTGGCCAATGCCCACCTGGATTGAGCATCCATTCTTTATGGCTGTGCACTGAGGAATTCATGGATCTCTGGGATTGGATGCTGAGCTCCGCTAGAGAAGAACCATGGGGGTCCTGGTCACAGCTCCAACACCCACCCTGGTGCAGAGAAGATGCCCAGAAAGACTCTCACTTCAGGAACCACTATCTATACTCACAGGAGGCATCCATACTCCCAACCCCTACTATCAGGGAATCTTCAGGGTGGGCACTGAGCTGGGAGGAAGTTGCTGAGTTCCCAGCATGTAGCTCTACACCTTTAAGGGACCCTGTCTCTCTGAGGTTACAACAGTGCATAGGGCCTTGGGAGTCAGGAGTTCATGTTCTGCCTCCACCACTAACTTGGTATGTGGAACTAGGCAAGTCCCTACCCCTTGCTGGGTCTTGGTTTCCTCATATGTTCAATAGGGGAGGTCAGAGGCTCGAACAGAATGGAGACCAGATCTGTTTGCTCACCAGTGTATGTCCCTGGTGCCTGGCAGTTGATAGATGCTCAGTAAACATTTATTAACCCACCAGACATGATTCTCAGTGGGATGAGTGATGGTTGAACTTTTGCTGAGGGTTGATTGGAAAGTCATGTGTAGTTTGAAAGTCAAGCAGCCCAACTGGCTTTCAGTGGCCTGTGAGGGACTCTATCCATCACACATAGGCCGGGGCAGAAGGGCTGAGCTTGAGCTGCACTACCAGACTGAACTGTGGCTGAAGGAGAAATACCCACCTCTCTAGATGAAAGGACATTTCCAATTTTACCATTGCCTTTGGTTGTGGTTTAACTCATGACATATAATTTATTTAATATAAAATATATTTAACTCATGATATATAATGTATTTTATGTATGCAATTTATTTAAAAATATATGTTTATTTTGGATAAATAAAAGAGAGTCTGAGGTGTTCACGTTGAGTTAAAAGGAGCCGTGGTGTTAAAAATGCAAAAAGTTGAGAAACACTGTCCTGGCTGAAGGGATGCTTCCAGGGAGCTGCTCTCACAGAAGATGTTTAGGAAGCCACCTAAAAGCACTTGGGCAGGGTCCCTGAGCTCTGTTTCTATAGTGACCCTCACGTGCTGGAGAGCTTGGGCAAAGACAGAGAATCTGGGGCCTCACCCCCTGCTCTGTTGGTGGGGGTGGGTGTGTGACTACAGGGTGGGGAGTATGAGGGGGCTCCAGAGGCCCCACAGGGCTGCTCAGGATGCCATCCAGGCTTCTCTGTCCCTTTTCAACACCATCCATCCCTGCAGGCTCCCCACAGTCAGCCTCCCACTGGTGGGTTGTGTGATGGGGAGGTGGCAGGGAGTTCTCCAGCCTGCTGCTCAGGAAGCCGGAAACACGAATGTGTCAGAGAAATCTGCAGGCAGCGCTGAAGAAGCGCTGGATTTCTCAAATCAAGAGGAGTGTTTTCAGCAACTGCACGTGCTCTGAAGAGAGACCACCTGGGTCCAGATGTCCACGTCATCACCTCCACCTGTATGGCCCGTGGCCAGTCCCACAGCCTCTCTGCTCTGCACACAGGGCATTTTAATTGCCAGGACATGGAACATTCTCAACATGGAGATGGCCAGGGAGCTCCTAAAGAATCCAGAAGCTGAAAGACACATTTCCCTCTAATCAGATTCCTGAGGCACCTGACTTGTCCTGGTTGTGGTGAGGACGTGGCCTCATGGCTTGAGAAAGGGCAAGTGGCAATTGAGAAGGGGCCTAACAGGAAAAAATCATCAGAACAGCTACTTATCACTGCTCTGTGAATGGGGGCCGAGGCCCCAGCAGGGGACAACCACCAACATTTGGCCCAAAATGAGGTCCCCAATAAGCAACTTAATCAAGATGGGCCATCACCACCTGGGGCAGCCACTTCAAGGCTCAGTCAAGAGAGCTGGGAAGCTGAGGCTTAAGGAGTTGGGAGTCCCAGCAAGGTCACCCAGGCTCTGCCACTCCTCCTGCAGGTGACCTGGTCTGGGATCCTCAGTTTCCTCATGTTAACTGGAGATAATGAGCCCTTCCTCACAGGCTTGCCTGAGGTATTAATGACCCAAACTGGCTTGTAAGGGCTCAGCACAGGGCCACACACAGTCGTGTGATCTAATGGTAGATGTTCCCTCCTCCTCTTTAGGACTCCAAAGTTCAGCTCACACCCCTGGGCCCCCACCCTGATGGGGCAGCCAGCATTGTCCCCCCAGCTGGCTGGTCCCTGGAATTCCAAAGTCTTCCAAATTTCCCTCCTTTCTCACAAACAGGTCCCTGAACTGAAAATCCCCCACCAAGTTCCCACTGGCTCTGTCTTCACTTGGAGGCTGGTGAGGGTCTCCTAACCTGTAATCTGGGCACCATGGAATGGGGGCAGTAGTGAACACAGGAGGGGTGAGGGCAACCAAATCACTTGCCCTGCCTGCCCTCTCGCCCCCTCTTCCGATGTGCTGGAGGGCAACTGTGAATGGACAGTGCACCAAGGCCACTTGGTCAGCAGCCCCTGCAGCCTGGGCAGGATATATGACCTGAAATTTGCAGAACAAATAATAAAGAAAAAGCACAGGGTAGAGGTGTGGGCCCCCATGCTCAGGGCCTCTAAGTGGCCTCTTGCCAGGATTTGGGCTCCCAGAGCGGCTCTGGGCCCTCAGCCTCTCCCAGGAGCTGTCCTGGTCTCTCTCATCCCAGATGTACTGAATTTAACCAATGACAAAGTGAGACTCACCATCAAGTACTGCGTCCTAGAAAGTGGGGCCCTTAAAAGATCGGGGAGTTCCAGACCCTCACATGACAGGTGCAGCCTAGAGTGGTCTCACAGCAAACAGGCAGCAGAGGCAGGCCAGGTCCCAGCCCCCTTCTTCATGGGTCCCTTGGTGATAGCGGGCTATTTTGTGCATGCCTGCTGTGCATCTCTGCCAGAGACACGCTGTGGATGGTACAGCAGTGACGGTGGAGATTCTCACTGGAAGATGATGCCTCATTCGATGTCTACCTTGAGCCTGTGACATGGGTGGGGCAGGGAGTGTCATTACAGCTGAGGAAACTGAGGCTCAGAGGGGAGAATGACTGGTCCAAAGTAACAGAGTGGTCCTGTGCCTGCCTTGTCCCTTATGCTGGGACACCAGGACTGGTCTGGTCTTGGCTTTTCAAATGCTTACAAGAAGCTAATTTTAAATATCCAAGGGGAGCAAGACGCAAGGAATGCACTGGCTTCTCAGGCCTTGAGGCTGCCTCTGAGCCCTATTTGGCCTCAAGGAGAAGCTACCAGCCAGTTCCTGCAGGAGCTCTAGGTGGCACTCAGTCTCTCCCCTTGGAGAGGGGCCCAACTGGAGCAGGCCGTGAGGCGAGCTCACAGCTCAGGAGCTGCAGCTTCAGGGACCTAGGTTGAAGCTCAGCTCCTGCACTGACTAGCTGGGCCTGCTGGTGCACCATTCCTCTGTGTCCAGTTTCAGGGCTCATAATCCAAATCCAACTGCAGGAGCAGATGCACTGGCCTGGGGGTCAGGTCACCACCCCTACCAGCTCCCCAAGTCGACCTCCCAGCTCTTCAACACAACACTCCTCTCTGTACCCACTCCCCTGTTCAGGCCACCTCCCGGTCCTCTCTCCTTCATCCCTGTCCCTTTCACTTCATTCCCCATCAGCTCTAAGATCCAGATCAGAACACAAGTAACACAAGTACCCATGGACATTCAATGACTATTCCATGAAAAATTCATACATGACACTTAAGACTCTAAAAAATATTATCAACAAAAAGTGATAGGGGCCGGCCCGTGGCTCACTTGGGAGAGTGCGGTGCTGATAACACCAAGGCCACGGGTTCGGATCCCATATAGGGATGGCCGGTTCGCTCACTGGCTGGGCGTGGTGCTGACAACACCAAGTCAAGGGTTAAGATCCCCTTACCGGTCATCTTTTTGAAAAAAAAAAAAAAAAAAACCACAAAAAGTGATAATAAAGGTGCTGTACCCCACTGGTCTTGGGATTAATTCAGCTTTGTCACCGAGGTTCAGGGCCACTGCCCCACAGCCTCTGCCTCCTGTTTCTTGTCACTGCTCACCCCATGGTTGTGCTCCA